TGGTCAGCAGGTCATGGATGATGGTCCTGAGCTCTGGGCTGTCCAGGTCCTGTAGTACCAAGGAACATCAGACTACTTCCACTCCCCTCAAGCAGCTCACTCCTCCTTCCCACTTCTCAGCTGCACGTGGACACGCCCTCAGGTCCATGGCTGGACCTTGCCAGGAAATCTGGGCAACCACTGTTCTTGTCTGCTCCCCTCCCTGGGGAATCCTGGCTAAAACCACACAGCGCAGCCCAGAGGGAAGAGCAGGAAGGAGAGAACAGCTACAACTTCACAACCTTACACACTTCCCTCAAGCTCTAGCACCTTCTGAAGCCCCAGGAGTGTGGTCCCCACCCCTACCACCTGAGGCTGAAGTGCTAATCAGTTAACAGCAATAGTCTGATGAGTAGCCAGCCCCTAGGAGGACTCAACTCAGGCCTGCTGAGCCCCAGTCCTTTCTTCTGCTGGCCTGGACCCTGGACATCATTCACCCCTGGCCATGCTAGATGTTGCCCTCTCCTGCTACAGACCTTATGTCAAAAGGTGTGTGCCTATGGGCTCTGGGATCCTCAGGGCTGTAGTTAACAGACTCACTAATGCTGCGCTCGAAAGTCACAGGGAAGCATGGCCAGCACTCCAGATGCTCTAGAACCTGCCTTCAGGGGCACTTAGCCCATGGAGGTGACCTGCTCTGTTCCTCTTTTGGCCTTGAGCAACACTGGCCCAGTTCTGCTCATCTACTGCATACACCTGTCTAGGGCCCAAACAATGGAGAAGGACTGGAAAAAATGAGATCTGTATTCACTGGAATATAGGTGGCACCTCGGAGAACCACAAGTGAACACAGCCACAGCAGGATCTGAGACCCCAGAGATAGGGCCTTAGGCTGCCATCTTCCAGGAACAGGCCACCTGTCTGGGGTCTCAATATACTTGGCCTATGGCCTTCCCTCCTTACCTGGAGCTGCTGAAGCAGCCGTTCCATGATATTCAGCAGAATGTCCCATGTCACTGCCTGGAGCTCCTTCCTGTACTTCTTGATAAGTCTGGTTATGGACAGCACGATCTCATAGGACACCACCTCATTGGGACAAGTCATGGCCTACAACGTGGAGCAAAGGGAATACAGGGTTAGCTTCCTAGCTCACATATAGAAAGCCCCTGCATGCCCCTTAGAGCTGATAGTAAAAGGCTGGGGCAGGGAGCATTGCTGTAAGGTTTTTTTTTTTGTTTTTTTTTTTACTGTAAGTTTGAGGGCAGCCTGGCCTACAAACTGCATAGTGAAACCCTCTCTCAAAAAACCAAACAACAGCTGGGGATTTAGCTCAGCAGCAAAAGCGCCTGCCTGGCAAGCGCAAGGTCGTGAGTTTGGTTCCCGGTACCAGAGAAAAACCAAAACAAACAAAAAATAAAAATAAAAATAAAAAAACAAACAACAAAAATAGTAATAATAAAATAAAGATATTTTATATTAAGCTAAAATATAGACCTAGTAAATCTGGCATATTTATTGAGCTGTCTTTAATATTTCTTCTTAAAAAACAGATTGGAAAAAAAAAAAAACTCTGACACACAAAAAACAGGTTGGGCCAGGGAGATAGCCCAGTGGCACAAGTGCCTGCCTAGCAAGCGCAAGGTCTTCAGTTCGATTCCTGGTACCAAAAATTAATTAATTAATTAAAAAACAGATTATGTTTGTATCAATGATGAAAACTTCTCCACAGAATCTACTTCTTCTGTCTCATTCCATAACAAAATATGTTCCATTACATAGTAACTCAATTATCACTCTAAATTATCAATTATCACTCTAAAAACTTGCTTTACTCTAAATTTTGGTTAGATAAAGCACTCCAAAAGGTTTTACTAGGGACTGGTTCTGTAAAACTGCCACTGCTTCTAGAGTTTTGTTTTGTCTTGTTTCGTTTTCCAGTACCAAGAATCAAACTCACTACCTCGCGCTTGCCAGGCTGGTGCTATGCTGCTGAGCTAAATTCCCAGCCCCTTAGAGTGTTTTTAAACAGGTATAAAGTATACTTTCACAGGGGCTGGGGATTTAGCTCAGCGGCAAAAGCGCCTATCTGGCAAGCGCAAGGTCGTGAGTTCGGCTCCTGGTACCGAAGAAAAACCAAAAAAAAAAAAAAAAAAAAAGTATACTTTCACAAATTTCTATACTATGTCTTAAGTAAATAGGCACCTCCATAATTATGAAATCGCTGAGATAGTGTTTGGAAGTCTCCATGACAGCCAATGAACATAAGGATATATATACATTTAGTTAGTTAGTTAGTGTTATAAACAGTAACACAATGAAGCCTGAAGACTGAGTCTATCCAGAATGTATGCAACCAATTTTGACATCATGTTACAGATAAATATGCATTGAAAAATAAACCAAAGAACCACAGTATATTTTACCTTTAACTTTGTGTAAACCATGCTTTGTCGATAACTTTGGCTTCACCAAAAGGTTAGTATACTTCAGTATTTTGAAAACATCAGTATTAATTTTGAGTTTGCAGAGGTAATCTAACCAACTGCCAGTATGTTTGGCATTAAGGATATACCTTTTAATAAAATTACTGAAATTCAAAAGAAAGAAAGAGAGAGGGAGAGAGAGAAAAAAAGAAAGAGAAAAAGAAAGAAAGAAAAAACCCCATTACCTCATAAAAAGACGGCAATACAGATGTTGGGGAGTTCTTGAGAGAATAGAGTCGGTGGGCTCCCCAAAGAGCCATGCCTACAAAGAACACAGCTCCTCTCAGCAGTGGGGCATCTTCCATGTAGGCTCTGAAAGCAATCCCCAGAAAGACTATGTGAGTAGGGCCTGAGTCCAGTGAGGGTCTTGGCACACACAGTAATCCTGTACTTTTAGGGCAGAAGCACAGCTGGAGAAAGGGTAATGGAAGCTGGCAGAAAACAGGCCAGCCACAACCAATTCTTCCATGATCTATTCAACAGTTAAGCACTCTTTGACCGCACCATGTACCAAGAGTCATTCAAGATTCAGGGACACAAGACTAAGTGAGAAGTCTAGTGGGAACAGAAGCTAGTCAAAAAAGTCACATAGTATAAAACTTCCACCTAAAATCAACAAGGAAAGCCATGGGCCCAAGAGCAAAAGCTCCTCAGGGAAGCCAGGGAGCTGACTGACTACACTAAAAACTGGGAAAATCAGGACTCAGCACAAGTGGGAAGAACATTCTAGCAGGAGTAAATAGTGTATGCAAAGGCCATCAGTGGGAAAGGGAGTAGCAAGAGGGAAAGAATGACAGATCCACAGGGCTGTGCCACTGGGGACCTTGATCCACAGGGAGGATCTCAGCCCACTCACCCTCAGCTGTCACCTCAGCTGCCCACACTCACCTGTCCTCCATGATTCGGCACATGTTATAGATGGCACTGTGGCCCAGGTGGGTGCCCAAGAGGTTACGCATCAGCTGGGAGACAGAACACACATCATACGGACTGGCAGATACAACTTGTAACCTTATCAAGGGCATCCTAGCCCTCACTCTGCCTCACATTGCCACTGCAGCCCTGTGGCACAACCAGCTCAGCACGACATCCTCCCAAACCAGAGGTTGCAGGGCTCTCAAATGCCACCCAAACCCTGGTCTCAGGTCAACTGCTTGGGAAAGGCCACTGGACTGCCCTTGACAGGCCACTGCCTGGTGACTCAAAAAATCATATGCTAACTGAAGATGGCCCTTTTCCTGTGATGTGCTGAGATCAGGGTGCTTTCCCAAACCAGGTGTGGCGGTGCACACCTGTAATCCCAGCACTCAGATGGCTGAGGCTAAAAGACTGCTGCAAGTTCACGGCCAGCCTGGTCTACATAGTAAGTTCAAGGCTAGCTTGAACTGCATAGTGAGATCAAAATAAACGAAGAAGGATGCTGTCCCAAGAAAGGACTCCCAACCTTCCAACAAGGTTCGCAGAGTTCCTTGACATTGATGGTGCGACACAGGGTGACAATGAACAGAGGGAGGCTCTCAGCTGGCAGGCAGTTGTAGCAAACCACAGCATCTAGCACCTGCAGGGAGACCTGCAGGAGGGAAGGAAAGATCACACTGGTGTCCCACACTCCCATCCTCCTTCCCACTGCCCAAGTAGCCTCAGAATCACAGAGCACCAAAAAAAAAAAAAAAGAACCACAGAGCAAGACAGCATACACTTGGGAGGTGTTCCTGTGCCCCATCCCAATAGGTCATCAACACTATGTTGCCCCATTCTAAGGCAGAATTCCATGATGGAGCCCACCTAACTATCCTACTCAGCAGACTTCTGCAGCTCAGAGAGGCCAAGCAGCTGCCTGGGACCACAAAGCCAGAGAGTGGCATATAGGGACTGACCCCAGAATCCTAGTCTCCCAGAAACAAAGGTGCAACCTTCCCTGAGGAGGGGTGTCACTGACCTCTATGTCCACAGAAGACATGGTCCGGATGCACAGCAGACAGATCATGCTGGGGAGGAAGAACCAAAGTCAGTTCAGAGTGTGTTTCTCAGAAGGCTGAGCAACTACACTTCATGTTTTAGTCACTCTGTGATGCCAGTTACAGGAGTAGCATGTTCTTTCTCAGGGTCCCCATTCTGTGCCAGCGCCTGCCCTCATAGACAATGAAAGATGTTTAAGAAAATAATGACAAAAAGACAACAACTAAAGTATAAGACAGGTCTACATCCAACTCCTCTATTTATTTGGTGGCTTTATCAACTTTACTCACCCCACAGAGCTGAACTTAAGAGCTAAAGCAGTAGAACTATATTGGAATATTACTATTTAAGATCTTTTCTGTTTGTTTTTTTTTTTTCCAGTACTGGTGATTAAATCCAGGGCCTTGTGCCTGCCAACCAAGTGCTGAGCTACACCCTCCAGACTCTTTTCTTACTGAACCATTGATGCGATGTGTTCATCAAGGTAACAGCTATTGAACTTGACCAAGTTCACAAGCACCAGCAGGAATTCTGAGGACAAGCCGACATCCATCCACTGTAAGACAAAGTCCGCTGTGGGAGAAGAGGACAGTAGTTTGCTGAGCAGCCAAGACTATACCTTCTCCTCACCTCCTCCTCAGCAGAGTCTGAATCCCACTACTGCTGAGAAGCATATTATCAGTCCCCTTGCAGTCACAGGCAGGCCACTCATGGTACCCGAGAAGACTCAGCAGGAGCCTACACAGGGACCATGCCTGGACATTCCCAAACTGCCTGAGGGTCAGAGCTGGGTGGCAGTAGGACTGTGCAGTTCATACTCAGGCTGGACTCCCTTTGCAAGCGATACACACATTACGAGGTGGACGTTCAGGAAAGCCATGTTCAGGAAACAGGTTCCTGGGTATCCGCATTACCCCAAGAGTTTCTGGAAGGAGACATATAACATGCACGGCAGCCAGCCTCAGACAGAAACCTGACAGCAGCTGTCAGCACCCCTGCTGGGACAGATCTGGACCTCACAGCAGCAAAATCCCACTCAGATTTACTTCTTCCTCCTTCCTCTTCCCACAACAGGGACATGAAGTCTGGAGTCTGACCAAAATGTCTCACTGTCAAGGTACAGGAGGTCAACCAACAGTGGTGAGAACTCAGACTGGGCTCAGACAGGACACTCTGGGCGACATGGGTTAACAATATCCTCTCCCAACAACAGAAAAGCTACCACCCACCCACTTCAAAGACACCTTCAAGGTCTATTTCCTAGACACTCTGAGCCAGCAGGTCTGGAGTAAAGTCCAAGAGCTGCATCCTGAAAGAACTCCTTGAAGATCCTGGTGAGTGGAGCTGCATGGCATTGTGCCCCCTATAGACACTCCCAGGTCCTTCCCCATCCCAGGCGTTTTTTGCTGTTTTTTTTTTTTTGTCTTTTTGAGACAGGATCTCACTGTGTAGTTTAGGCTGGCCTAGAGCTCACTTTGTAGCCCAGGCTGGTCTCAAACTCACAACAATCCTCCTGCCTCAGCCTCCCAAGTGCGGGGATTACAGGTGTGCACCACCACACCCAGCCCCATCCCAGGTTAAATTCAATCCAAGGTCAGAGAAACCGCATACCCAGTGTGGCACCCACCTAGTTCCTCTTCCAAGTAGGTGATATGTCTCCCATTGTCTGTGAGGGCCTTGAAAACTTCCAGTCTTTCGTGGAGGTCTTCATTGGAAGGGTAATCTTTGATGACCTTAAAGAAGAGGGCTCTGAGAATACCCAACCGATCACCCTAAAGACAGAAATACTAGGTTAGTAGGGTCCTGCTAAGCTCTCCCACACAGCTGCCTTTCCAGAGGCCAGAAAGTGCAACAGGGACTGAGACACCAGGTATGGTCTGCTATCCTTTCCTCAGGGACACTTTGCAAAGAATGGGTTGGCAAAGCCTGTGAGTAGAGGACCTGAGTCACTGGCTAGCAGCTGACTTGTATGTGTGGACCACCTACTGCACTGGGCTCTGGGTATGGCAGGGCATAGAGCACGAACAATGCAGCTCTTGCCTTGCTCAGCTCACAGCCCAGGGTAGATCAATGCATACACATCATGGCGACAAAGGCCAACGGCACCAGGTGAGGGACAGCGTAAGTAGACAGGCCACTCCAAGCAGCCGGGCCCTGAAGGAAGAAATTGACCACTGGTAGAGAAGTCTTCCAGGCAGAAATAGCAAGATGGGCCTTGGGTGTTCAAAGGTTTGAACACCCAGTTGGGGCATGGTGAACAGGGGGAATCCTCCAGCTGGGGGACAAGGCAGCAGTAGCAAGGTAACAATGGCCATACCAGGCACTGTTGCCCATGTTCTCATGAACTGCATCCTTCCATTCCCAAATATACCAGAGGAGAAAGGTTCAGCCACCACCCCCACCTAAAGTGAGGAGGTAGGCCGGGGATATAGCTCAGTGACACAGCACCCGCCTGGCAAGCACAAGGTCCTGAGTTTGATTCCTGATACCAAAAATAAATAAATAAAGCAAAGAGGTAGAGAGGCTCAGGAGTTCCAGTAACTAGCCAGGGTCACAAAGATAGGAATAATGGTACCACAATGCCCACACAGGGGGCCTGGAGCCCCTGTTAACCACCAGATCCCACACATGGCACCCCACCGAAAACCAGAGTCCAGAAGGCTGGTAACCTGCCATCAGCCAAAGTTCACCAGGCTCCTCCCCTTACCTGCCCCTGCACAATAGCCTTCAGCAGGGCCAGCACTGCATGTCGGGCCTCTGGTGGGCGCTCTGGCTGCAATAGGTCCTCAACAGCCTTCCAGAGTGCTTCCACTGCATGCTGCCACCAACACAAAGGGGACAATGATAAGGGTGTGGTCTTCAAGAACCCTGGCCCCAAGGGCTGGGGATTTAGCTCAGCGGCACAGCGCCTGCCTGGCAAGCGCAAGGTGGTGAGTTCGATTCCTGGTACCGGGGGGGGGGGAGAAAAAAAAAAGAACCCTGGCCCCTAGATGCAAGAACATGATAAAGCAATGGACAGAGCAGAACAATAGGGTCTTTTGACTTAGAACCAGTTCCTCAGCAGCCTGCAATGACCACAGGTCTCAGAACCACTTTAAACCTCAGCAGGTCCCTTTAACCAGCCCCAGCCAAAGGCTAGGGAAACAGGACAACAGGCAAGCCAAAGGAGCAGTCTTGGCTTTCCTAAGGCTGGGAAAGAGTCTGCTGTAAAGCTGCTCAGACTCTAGAAGAAAGGCATGGGAAGTGTCTGAATCAGATGTGCAGGAGGGGTCTCGGCCTTCACCTTTCCCAGAAACCCTGGCTCATGGCTTTCCTCTGTATGAACTTACCAGGTGTCCATTCAGTAGTACACTGCTCCCCTATCACCCCCGAAGATGCTAAGGACAAACTCTGCACAGTCTTCTGAAGTCGGCTTCTCTCACAACTCCCACAGCTGTGGGGAACTGATTGCTGCTGCCCAGAGCCACCCAGACTCAAGTGCTTAAGCTAGCTCTTGTATCCCCTTTCTCTCCCTTCACCAGGGTTCACATGCCACTTAGTTTCCTAGGCCTCCTCCTTTTAGCGGGAGGACTATAAAGGTTACTGTCTCTTAGATGTTAGATTTGCTGGAATCCTCACCTCCTGTGTTGCATTCACAAGATTCCTACTGATACAACCTGAGAAACAACACAGACATTGAGCCTGTGGACCACCCCAGCTCTTATAGGTCTGCTTATCTATGGGCATTACGTTCCATACCTACAAAGGCAAGGTTCTCAATGTGGAGCCTATTTTTTACTTTGCTTCTTGGTAAAGTGTAACATGCATATTTCTGGTGAATTGCTGAAGGTATAGTAGCTACTTCCCTTAGCAGAAGTGAGTCACCTCCTGACTCTCACACACAAATGCTAGGCAAAGTCAGGAGGGGCTCTAAAGTGCTCTACACTAACCCTGACCCCTAGAAAACCAGCCACTCTACCCACAAGACAGCATGAGACTGAAAATGATTGTCAAAAATACACATGCTGTGTCTGTTCTGTGAGGGTTCCTGATGCCACCAACTAGTCACATTTCCCAAGCAGGCCCAAAACCATGGTGCTGTGAAGCAGACTCTGTGAAACTACACCCTCTCTTGGCATCCCATCATCACCCCAGCCCAAACATGCAATGAGAAGATATGCTCCTACAAACAGAAAACTCAAGGCTTGTATTTTTCTCTCTCTAAACTCAAAGAGAGAGAATTTAAGTGGACTCTCTCAGACAAACCTACCTCTTCAAATTTCTTAGTTTTTGCAACTTCACAGATCTGCCCTATCACCCGGATGCGATTGTTGAGGCCACATTCAACACTCAGTTCCTAAAAAGCAAAAAGAAGAGAAAGGGGCCAGTACACAAATGACAGGTCTCCCTAATTCGAATCACAAATCATCCTACAAACTGCTCTGCTCTGCACTTTCCAGACTAGATCTCTGTAACAGATCTCTCTGAATGAGGATTTGGCAAAGAGCTCCTACTGGACCTCAGCGGACTGACAATGGGCAATGGTTTTTTTTTTTTCATACCTGCAAAGTTTTATTGAGATAAAACTCACATAATGTAAAATACACCACTGCAGCAATTTTAAACTATGCAATTCAGAGTTTAATATATTCATGATGCTTACAACATCTCCAATTCCAGAGTATTTTCATCACTCCAAAAGGAAATCACAAATCAACTCCTTCCTCTATTCAGCCCTAGCAATCATGATTTGCTTTCCGTCTCTCTGGATTTTCCTATTTCAGACACTTCATATAAATGGACTCGTGTATTACAAGGACCTCTATGACTAACATCTTTCACTTTGCACATTTTTAATCTTCATTCCTGTTGTACCATGTGTCAGCAGTTCACTGTTTCTACTGCTGAATCCATATCCCATTATATGACTGTAGCCATCATCAGGTGATGAACATTTTGGGTGTTTCTAAATTGGAAATTTTAGCCCGGTGTGGTGGTGCATGCCTGTAATCCCAGCACTTGGGAGGCTGAGGCAGAAGGATCACCATGAGTTTGAGGTCCGTCTGGGCTAGTTTGAGGTCAGTTTGAGGTCAGTTCAAGGCCAGTCTGCACCACATAGCGAGACCTTATCTCAAAAAAAAACCCAAAAAACCCTGAAAGTTTTACAAGTACAAAAATTTAACATTTATTAGCCGGGCGTGGTGGCGCATGCCTGTAACCCCAGCACTCAGGTGGCTGAGGCAGGAGGACTGTTGTGAGTTCGAGACCAGCCTGGGCTACAAGTGAGCTTAAGGCCAGTCTGAACTGCACAACAAGACCCTGTCTCAAAAAGATTAAAAAAAAAATTAACATTTATTTATGGGTAAAATACAGTGTCAAGGTATGTGTTAGCAGGGGAATTCAAACACATAAAAAATAAAGACATGTCAGGTTCGGTAGCACAAACCTAAAGTCCCAGCTACTTGGGATGCTTAGGCAGAAGAATCTCAATTTCAAGGCCAGCCTGGGCAAGACCAAGACCTGGTTTCAAAATTAAAATTTTTAAAAAGGGCTGGGTTGTAGCTCAGTGGTATAGTGCTTGCTTAGCATAAATGAGCCCCTAGGTTCAAATTCCTGTTACCATCCAAAAAAAAAAGATGGGCTGGGGGTGTGGCTCACTGACAGTACATGCTTAGTATGTGCAAGGATCTGGGCTACCACAACCAAAAAAAATAAAATAAGGATCCACTTTTCCCAGAGACTCACATATTACCAGTTAACACCTGGCCATATCCCCTAACCACCTGTGAAAAAGAAGGTGTTCTGGCCACACCTGGCAAAATGGATTTTTTTTTTTTTTTTTTTGCATTAACTCTTAAATTCTAAAGTATGCCAGAGCAGGTCACCACATGTACGTATGCCTCCATGATACTGGGGACAACAGCCTTGTGCAGCTATCAGCAACCCATCCCCCACAGAACCCTGTGACAGACCAGTCTTCCTTGCCCTCCTCACTAGGCTAACAAAGGCAGAGGTAGCTCACTCACTCTCAGGATTTCCGCTGTGATGATAAACTCGGTCTGATTGCCTTCTGCAGACCTAGGATTTGGCCTTGTTGTTCGAAGTCCCAAAAAAGTCTTGAACTTCTCCTTCAAGCCCGAATCTTTGTTTGCCGGCTTGGCCATGGTGGGGAGGGGCCCAGGAGAGGGCTCCTCTGTGTAGAAGAGGCATTGGAAACACCTGAGGTACAGCTCCCCCCGCATGCGCCACCGTTGACCTCCAACCAAACCGACCCTAGTCTCTGGGGATTATAACCAATCCCCCCACATCCGGTGGGGACCACTCAACCACAGCCTGGCTACCCGGCCACAAAAAGTACGGCAGATGCGGGCCTAGCCTAACTTGCTGCCTGCTCAAGCACGGCCGCCGCCGCCGCCCCTGCCCCTGCCCCGTGGGTCCAGGGGGTCACTTCTGCCACCTTCTCCCTGGGTGAATGAGGACTGTCGCGGGAACACCTGCAGCAGAGTCCCGCTCACACTCGCCATGACTTATAAAAGGTAGGCCTTAGTAGAGACCAAGCTGCGGTGGGCGTGGCTGAAATCTGAGCGTACGGAGCCCGCCTCCCCGCCACCCGGTCACCGCTGGGTCACACGGTGGTCTCAGCCTGCACAAGAAGCAGTGTCGCCGAGGCCCACTCACCCCGTGCGGCCCCCCGCCGCTGAGAAGGGCTCACTCCCGGGACCCCCGCGAAGCCGCCGCAGGAAGCACCACCCTCACTTCCGGGGGTGGGCCAGTGCGGAGGGCCACGCTGGGCTTGTCGGGAGCCGTAGTTCTGCACACGTACTGAACACGTGACGGGCCGCCTGGGAGGCTGGAACGTGTAGTCGGCAGCGTCAGGCATGAAGGCGGCGGCGGCAGCGGCGGCGAGGATGGTGACTCGCAGCCAGAGCCGCGCAACCGGGTTTGGGTCGTTAGGAAATGGGGAAGAGCCAGTGCCACCCGGGAACGGAGAGGTGGCTTCAGGTAGCGCCGTGACCGGCCAAGCCTTGGAAGGAGAAGGAGAAGCGAGGGAAGGGGACGGAAGGCTGAAGGCGGGACTGGGACCCAGGACGCGGCAAAGTCCGCAAGCGCCAATGAGCCCTCTGGCCCTACGTGCGGGCCCTGCGGCGCCACCCTGGCACCGTCTTGGATGCTGCTGGCCGCATGTAGCCCAAAGTTCCGGTCCCACCAGCCTGCCCCGGGGCGGCCCACTTGTGCCAGGCTGGCTGTGGGGCACAGCAGTTCTGTGTTCAGAGCTGCTTCCTTCTTGGCCAGACTGACTGCCAAGAAACACCCAGCCAGAAGTCTCCCCCAGCTGGAGGGTGGTGCCGAGAGAAAACAGGAAAGGGCATGGTATTCATTGTACTTGTCCTGTAACCCTTAGGGACCGACCTACTGTGCGCCAAGAAGCAGGACTCAGTGAGACTAACAGGGTCCCTATATTCCCGTGCTAGGACTTCTACAGATTTGGCCAGAGCAGGATTCCATAGGCACCCAGGGCACAGGGAAGTCCAGACAAGGGCAGGCGTGGCAGGGGAAAGGTCGTGCAGTGGGAAGCTGGCAAGTTCTGGTGCCTCCCAATGAAGCAGGTGCTTTCATGGCCAGAGAAAATCTGCAGTCGTCTTGAATGCAAAAGGAAGCCAAGGAGTTCTGAAAGGGGAGTGACACAGTCTGATCTGAGTGTTAAAAAGTTAGATGCAACCGAGAGGATGTATTGGGGCATAATGGTAGAGGCTGTTACTGGAATCCTGGTATGCTAACTGCACTTTTTCAGAGTTACATCCTCTGCCTTGCAGGGAGCAGAGCACCCCCACTGGGGTAGCTGATGGACAGTCTTTGCCTGAATGAGTGAGAGAGGTGGTAGGCAGTACCTGTGCCCACCCCTCTTCTGTGACCCCCACTTAAAGGACTAAGTGGTGCTTTGCTTTTTTTTTTTTTGGAGACGAGGTCTCACTATGTAGCCCAGGCTGGCCTCGAGCTCATGGTAATCCTCTTGCCTCAGCCTCCCAAGTGCTGGGATACAGGCATTCGCCACCACACCTGGCTGAGTGGTGCTTTTTTACAGAAGGAAGAAAAAATCACAGGCCTATCAAGCGACAGCGGAAGGCACAGAGACTACATGTGGCCTATGAGGACTCAGATGCTGAGAAAAGTAAGGGGACTGACCCTCTTGTGACCGCCTGGGAGCCACAGGACTGGAAGCAGCAGCTAGCCAATATCCGCACCATGAGGAGCAGGAAGGATGCACCCGTGGACCAACTGGGGGTTGAGCACTGCTATGACCCCAGTGTCCCCCCAAAGGTAGGCAGGGGCCCCACCTGCCCTGGTGACACCCCTCCCCCAGCAAGGAAGACACTTGCTGCCTCTCAGGCTTCTGGCATGGGACAGTCTGAAACCTGGCAGCTCTTAGCTGGCATGCTCCCCTGCAGGCAGCACAAGGCAAGCCCCCGCCACACACACCCTGTTAGCCTTGGTAAGTAGAAAATCCAGGGAGACAAAAGGAAACTGGATGGAGGGCTTGCCTGGGGCTTGGCCCAGAGTGAGCTCCCAAAACCCACTGTACCCTGGTTCTTGTCATTGTGCAAGCAGGTACAGAGGTATCAGGTGCTGCTGTCCCTGATGCTTTCCAGCCAGACCAAAGACCAGGTGACAGCAGGCGCCATGCAACGACTTCGGGCCCGGGGCCTGACGGTAGACAGCATCCTGCAGACAGATGACAAGACGCTGGGCGAGCTCATCTACCCTGTGGGATTTTGGAGGGTGAGCCTGGCCTTTGGCAACAGGGCTGGGGTGGCACTAGCCTGGCAGAGACACAGAAGGCAAGGAGAAAGCATTTCTGACCACAAGCTCCTCCTGCCACAGAACAGCCAGTAGGGTAGGGTGGTAGCAGGCTTTGTGGCTGGTGCCCTGTCCCTGGAACTCCTTGGCCTTTCCTGTTTGTACCCCTTCCTTCCTCCACCTCCCCGCCCAGCAGCCTGCCCTTCCTTTCCTTGTCTTCCTCTTTGTTTACTCCAAGCCTCCTTGGAGAGTGTCACCCCACACAAGCTGCTCCCCCAGAATACTGAGTGGTGGGTGGACAGATCTGTTAAAAGTAGCTCAGTGGGTGGGGCTGCTTCTACTTAGCAGTGGTGTGGGCTGTAGTCAGACAGGCTTTAAATATCCCTCTTCATTCAGGCACAGGATGGGAACAGCCTGGCTGGCTCAGCAGCTGGTAGAATCCAGGGCTCCAGCCTTCCTTGCTGAAGGCCCAGGTGCTGAGGAGCCCAGCTCTTGGGAATAGCTGGCCTGTTTGGTCTGGCCCAACCTTGTGGTAGGGGAATGCTGGGGCAGAGGGATATAAGCTGGGCCCCACAGACATGTCATTGGTCCATGCGGGTGGAAGGCAGGGGTCTAGCCCTGCCCTTAGTCCCTGTCAAGGGCCTCCCTTGGGTCTCCCTGCTGCCCTTGGCTCCTTCCTGTCTACTGGGGAATAGGGTAAGCTGATGACAGGCAGCTCTGGGCCCCTTTATGTCTCTACCAGGCCTTGTCCTTCCAGGTCAGGCTACACTTCCCCTCCCCAGGGCTGACCCCTTACCATCTTTCAGAGCAAGGTAAAGTTCATCAAGCAGACGAGTGCCATCCTGCAACAGCGCTACAACGGGGACATCCCAGCCTCTCTGGCAGAGCTGGTGGCACTGCCAGGCGTTGGGCCCAAGATGGCGTACTTAGCTATGGCGGTGGCCTGGGGCACCGTGTCAGGAATAGGTGAGTGACACATGGCACAGGAAGGGAGGATGGGCTCTAGGCTTGCTGGCTGCTGTTGGGATTCCCCACATCCTATGACCCAGCTCCAGCCTCCTCATCCAAGACTCAGCCTGAAGAGTTAGGAGGGATTCCCAATGCTAAGTTGGCCAGCCCTGCCATACTGACAGCAGGAGCTCAAACTTGCTGAGCACCTACTACTACCTGCTGGGTTCTGTGAGGGGCCCTGAAACTAGACTCAGGTGTGTGCCCCCTGCTAGAGAGAGATTCAACAAGGAGTGCCTCACCTGTGGGTGGAAACACTGATCGGGGCACACATGCTACAGAGCCTGACCTGGGCATTGGCATCTAGGAAGACTTCCTCAGGTTATGTTCCCACCAAGAGCTCAGAGTGAAGGAGGGTTATCCAGACTGAGAGGAGGAAGTACATTTCAAACAGAAGGAACAGTGTCTGCAAAGCTGTGCAGCAGGCAAGAGATCAGGAGCAGAAAGCTCTGAAATGAGACAACTGAGTGGGGAGGTTTGGAGCAGGGGCAGGCCTCTTCATGGAATCCTCCTGGATGTCTCTTGCTGGCATTGGAGATTTCAGTGTAGTGGGGTAAGGGAGACTTCCTGGGGTGGGGACAGTGCTGCCTCTATCTTGGACCTTTGTCTATAAAAATTGAGGCTCCTGTAGCTACACAGCAGCAGGGCCCAGCCAGCCCAGAAATCAGGAAAGTGACCCCAGCCTCTCCTTGCTCCTGACTCTGGAATTCTACAGGGACTGTGCAGGCAGGGGTCATCCCTCAACAGGTCCCTGGGCAGGCAGCCTTGCAGCACTTCCTGACAGGCAGGAGAGCAGCTCAGGGCCCAGAGCTGTGGTTAGGAGCTGGTGGCTACAATTGAGACTGGAGAGTATTAATCCCTGCAAAAACCAGGCTGGGCAGGAGCAGGCCACAGCCTGCTCCCCTACCTAAATGCTCAGTGCCACCTTCCAGCCTCCTGAAACACACTTGAGCTTATCTGGGCACTGTCCTCAGCTGCCTGCCCTTGTCCCAGGAGTGCTGTGTCATGTTTGGGTACCTCTATGGGGGAAGAGCCCATGGCCAGGTGGGGGACTGTATTTTAAACACAGTAGACACAGCCAAAAGGAGTGTTGGAAAGTCACTCTCTCTGGTTGTGTGGACTTGACCATCAGAGACCCCAGGGCTGCTTCCTAGGGGAGGGAAAAAGTCCTCTTCACATAAAAAGCTAAAGCTATGGGTTACAGGAGCCCATCCCAGCTCTTCCACTTCAGCTGGGCGACCTTGGGTCAAGCACTTGGCCTCCTTTGTTCAAAGCCAATGAAGGAGTTGCCCTGCTTAACAACACAGATGGATCAGAAGCCCTTTGGGTCAGCAGAAGAGTCTCACACATAATGTAGCCCTGGAACTCAGCCCCTGGGTGTCCTAAGGAGCATGGTCACCTCTGTGTTAGGAGGAAACAGGCTCAGGGTTTCTGGGATATGACCCTCAGCTATCATCCTCTGCCTGCACCCCAGGTACGTTTTCCCAAGTGTTGGCAAGGCAAGGGAGCTACTGCAGGGATTAGCTTTGGGTGGTGAACCCTGGAGAAGAAAGCAGGGCCGAGATTGCAGCTGGCCAATATGCCTGGGCCAGAGGAGGAGGCTATAGTGAGTAGGCATCTGGACTGAGCCTCTGCAGTGGCCAGATGATAGGAGTAGGGGCCAAGGCCCAGGTGGACCACAGCTGCAGCAGCCCTGGCCGTACTCCCTGCTCTGTCCCAGAGAGCTGTAGTGGCAGATTCCAGCTCTGCAGCAGTGATCTCAGGCAAGTGTGCTAGATCAAGCTGCTGCTATCCAACCTGGTGCCCAAAGCCAGTGCCTAGACCAAGAAGGACCTCAGACCCCAGGAGATGAGGCAGAGGAAGCAGGCCAGGCCCTTCATGGGCCAGATGTCATAACTGGGGAAATTATGAGCTGAGAGTACACGGTTTGGGGTTTTTGTTTTTATGATGTTGGTTTTTTTGAGTTCCTTGCTGGGGATCAAACCCAGAACCTCATATGTGCCAAGCACACACTGTACCCTAGATACTGTGTGCTTCGGAGTAAACCCTGCCTGGTCTGATTTTACACCCACAGGTGGTTTGTAAAGAATTACTATGCTGAATTCCTGGCACCAAAAAAAAAAAAAAAAGAAAGAAAAAAAAAAGAATTACTATGCATGGTGGTGCACACCTCTAATGCAAGCACTTGGGAGACTGAGACAGGAGGATCACTGAAAGTTTGCCACCAGAAGGGGCTAGATACTGAGTTCAAGGCCAGCCTGAACTACATAGCAAGACCCTGTTTCAAAAAGGAAAAAAAAAAAGCCAGGCATGGTGGCACATGCCTATAATTCCAGCACTCGGGGAGACTGAGGCAGGAGGATGGCCATAGTTCAAGACCACCCTGGGCTATGTAGTGAGTTCAAGGTCAGCCTGAACTAAACAGTGAGACCCTCTCTCAAACAAAAGTCAGAAAAGAGTTACTGAGCTGAGGCTGATGGATTTCAGTGTGGGGTCTAACCCCAGCAAGCCCTTGGGCCAAGTTAGCTGTTACTGTTGTTGGGGCAGAATCTAGAGCAGAGATACCTCCCTACCTACCCACACAAATGGCATCTGGATTGCTGGATCTGGGCTCTACCAGCCTCCCCTGGCAATAGGAGGGAGGCCTGCCCGGGACTGCAACCAGGGAGAGGCTCCAGCTCCAGCCCAGCAGCTGAGATGCAGCAGCCATGCAGCCAGGGCTGTGTAGTTCCCATCTCTGCCCTGGAGCTCTAGAGTGGGTGACTCAGTCCCCCTGCCCACCTATATACTCAAGGATTTGGGCAGGGACAGTTTGGTGGAGTACACTGGTTCATCCTGCCCTGTCTCCACACAGCTGTGGACACACACGTGCATAGAATTGCAAATCGACTGAGGTGGACCAAGAAAATGACCAAATCCCCAGAGGAGACCCGCGTTGCCCTAGAGGAGTGGCTGCCCAGGTGCATTGGGATGGGGGTGTTCGAAGGGTGGGGCCTCCCCTTCCTCCTTCCACCCTGACATGCCTCTCACCTCCACAGGGAGCTGTGGAGTGAGATCAATGGGCTATTGGTGGGCTTTGGCCAGCAGATCTGCCTGCCCATCCATCCTCGCTGCCAGACCTGCCTCAACCAGGCCCTTTGCCCTTCCGCCCAGAGCTTCTAAGGGCGATGGGGTTTCAGCTTGGGTCTTGTTGTTGCTGTTACCTATGAAGTGCCTTTGGGGGAGAGCGGGGTTCACAATTTGGGTAATAAAGCTTGGGGATGGTTTGCAGTTGGTCTGACTGACTTCTATCCACAGAGTCTGAGGGCAGCCAGGAAGCATGTGTATATACAGCTCGTGTGTGTTAGGCTGGGTTCCCTGGGAGACTGGAGAATGACAGTCCATGCTGTGTACTCAGGGAGGGAGGAAATGATGACAGCCAGCTGCGCCCAGCTGCTGGGAAGCCTGCAATAAGTCCCTGACTTATGAACATTCCAGTTGTGAACTTTCATGGATAGGAAGGGACTTCATATTACGAACATTCACAGGCACGAGCAAAGCATGGAAGTAGCTCACATGCCCACCTTTGTATGGTACTGTACTACCATTTTAAGGTAACTGTAAAAGTAAAAATAGTTTACAGTATTTGTGTGTCTTTGGTTTTCTTTATGCTTTATATTGTATATTCATGTCAAAGATGTGTAAGACTCACTTTCTCACACTTACAGAAGAGTCCGACTTAGGAATGTTCTCCCAGAATGGAACTCATTCATAAGTTGGAGACTTATTATGCTGAGAAAGTGACCCTGTGGTCCCTCACACTCTGTCCATCTGTCAGCCCAGCAGCTTCTCAGCCCAGACTCTGCCAACTCCTGAACTTGTATACCCTGAAAGCTGCTTCTGCCAGAGTCCCACCCCCACGTTCACAGAGCCACCTGTCTTGGACACCAGGGCACGAGGCTTGACCTATGTGCAGTGCGCAGTGTGGAAGGTAGCCTGTGGAGACATTAAGCTCAGGCAGCCCAAGGGAGGTAATGGGAAGCTGGGGCTCACCAGGTGGAAGAGATGGGGAGAGGCCCCAGAATGTGCCACAGAGGGTGGGGGCACCAGTGGGAATAGGAGCTAAAAGCAGCTGCCCTGACTGCAGCCTGACCTCAGGGTCCCCTAGAACAGGCCTCATCCATCCACTCCTTACCTCCCAACTGGAGACTCAAAGATGACATGATGCCAGATTCCAAGGCAAGGCCTGTTTATTCTTAGGGCGCGCATGCGCTATGGCTTACAAGGCAGACAGCAGTGCTGGTCAGTATAGGGGTTCAGGGCACTGAAGAAAGGGCAGAGTCAACAGGATGTCCATATGGGTGGGTACCGGGCAGGTGTAAGGCAGAGACTATACCTATAGGTCCGGGGTCCTTTGTGGGGGTAGTTCTTAAACCCACGCTCCCCAGGCCTGGGAGCTGGGGTATGGGAAGGGGAGCCTGTCCAGAGACTGCCCTCCTGGGAGCATGGGCCTCCATCCTCAGGCTCCTCATAGAGCCCAGGCACTGCACTATAAGCCCCTAATAGGGCAGAGAGCTGGGGCCTGGCCTAATAACCCACCACACAAGGGAGGGCAGCTCCTACAGGCACATCTGGCTGGCCTCCTCAGCCTTTCCCCGAAAAAGCTCACGTGAGCATGGCCAGAGGGCCCCTGGCTCTCTGTCCTCTGGAAGTCCCTGGGCTTCCACTCAGGATGGTGCTGCTGAGGGGTTGGGGAGGAATGATTTGCAGAGAAAGGTTTGTTTTATTGCAGTTATTTAGAGAGCAAATGGGGGAGGAGCCTCTGGTATTAAGTGGAAATGTGTGGTGCAGGAGATCTTTTTGGGGAAAAAGCAAAAACAAATTCCTTTCAGTCAGCAGGCCTGGGGCAGAGCAGCAAATGCCCTTGGCGATTGTCACACTCTGGCTCCCTTCTCTCCACCACTGTCTCTCATTTGTCTCTTTCTGTCTCTCTCTCCCCGTCTTGCTGGGACAGTCCCCAGCATACAGCAGGTTGGAGATAAGACAGAGGCTCACTGGGGCACAGGTTGCTTTCTGGATGGAGATGAGACCACCTCCAGTCCACTGAGGCGTGGGGAGCTCTAGACAGGCCGGAGGTCCCACATGGGCCCAAACAGGCAGGGAGGGGCTCAGAAGTTGCTGAAGATCTCACGCTTCCGGTTCCAGTCCATCTGGGGTGCCCGTTTGTTGACCCGTGTGGCCCGAGCCTTCTCCTTGGCCTCAGCTGCTGTGGGGCTCAGGTGGAGGCCACTCTCTTGGAATGGATCTCGCTTCCAGGTACCACCATCCTGGGGCATAGGGCAGGCAAGGTGCCAGAAGTCAGCTGTAGACCTGGGCCCCAGACAGGCACCTTCCCAAGAAGCTTACCCCAGAGGCTACCTGGGGGGCAGGGAAGTGGGTACAGGAGGGCTTCCTGGAGTTGACAGCCCCACTTTTTTGTTTTGTTTTTTTTCTGGTACCAGGAATCAAACTCATGACCTCACGCTTGCCAGGCAGGTGCTGTGGCAGCCCCACTATCCAGACTGGAATCTCTAGACACCTACCCCAAGGCCTCTGGCACACCCATGTTTGAACATAGAGTTACCTCAGTGTCCTTGTCTGAGCCCAGTAGGTCACTTCGGGATGAGCACACTGAGCCACCATTGAGCTGGGAAACCAAGGGCAAGGCAGGGCTTCAGGGTCCCCACCCAGGGAGCCACTAGTGTACACAGATACACACATGCACACATACCATAGCTGAGCACGCACACTGCTCACACACCACAGCTACACCTGCACTCCTTTGTACATACCACACCTTTACACGTTTGCATGCATGCCTTTGCACACACACTACACCTTTGCTTGCAGGCCTTTGCGTACATGCACACCACAAGTGTATCTACTACTCCTTTGGTAGTGAGCACCAATCCTCTACTACTGCCCAGATCCAGCTAGCAGGACCCCGGGCACCCAGAAGTGAACAGGTAGGTGGCCAGCCCTGGCCTGTCACAATAAGGGAAGGAAGTATTGGTGCAAGAATCACCCATGAGTATCACCTGGGATGAAGCCAGGGCCAGCTTCCAAGGGTAGGGGGAGACTGCGTGATAAAATAATAGCCACGTAGTACCAGGAACAGAGAAGAGAGGGCAGTGGCCCCAGAACTCCAGGTACCTGCCTGCCCTGTGTGACTAGGGCATGGTGTTGCCCCAGGGCAGGATCCCCACAGATGGTATTAAAGCTGCAGTGATGGGGCCAGACATGAGTCTGGGCCTCACAACCACACTACTTAATGGCAGATATCTCCAGGGGAAGGGGGTGCCTCTGTCAGGCCTGGGGACCCAGAGGTGCACTCTCACCTGGGCAAGGCTGGTCCCGTTGGTAACTGGTGATGGCAGTGGACCTGTGGGGACAGCATGTCAGTGGCTGCTTTCCCCCCACACTGACCCCACCCCATGCCCCCAGGTACTGGCCCACCTTCCACATGGTCTTCAGTGGGCGTGACCCGCAGCTGCTTGAAGTACTCATCAGTCTCAGGGTCCACCACCAGCAGCCGTGCCTCATGCTCTCGTGCCTTGATGCTTGTGACAACCTCAGCATGGCGCAGCCCCTCCACGTTCTGCCCATTCACCTGCCATCACCAGCACAGGGTCAGCAGGGCCCGAGGGACCCAGCCTGCCCCACACCACCTAGCCAGGTGTGCCATCAAATATTCATCGAAGCCACCACCAGCTGAGGCAGCAAGAGGAGTGCCAGCTCAGGTTCCCAGTGACTCCCCTCCTTCAGCAAGGACCCAAGGCCCAGACGTGGACACACATGGCACATCAGTGGGCACAGTACCTCGATGAGCCGGTCCTGGGCACGGAGACCAGAATGGGCAGCAGGTGAACCTGGATCCACAGAGCGAATATACTGGCCAGGCCGAGACTTGTCACTGTGCAGATTAAATCCGTAGCCCTGAGGTCCCTTTTGAAGGTGACAGAGCCGAGGGCGCAGCTCTCTCGAGGGCCCAGTGACATCCTGCAGTCACAAGGGATGTGAGATCAGGCTCTAGGCTCCCAGCCCTAGCAGCCACTCATCTGGACACCACCCACCACCTTAGCAGGGGGTCCCAGGTCTCAGCAACAAACACTCCATGTGCTCCCTGCCCCAGGCCCTCAGTGAGGCTGCCTGAGACAGAGTTCTAGCTGTGGAACCTCGGACAAAGCCTCAGTTTCCAAATGTGAAGTATTTTCAGTTGGGACATCTGCCTTGTGGGATTGTTGAGAAAATTCATGCTCAATGGCAGTGCTATGCACTGGCTGAAATTGCAGGGAGAAGCCAGGTGGAATCAAGCTGCTATCCATCACAGTGACTGACCAACAGAGATGGCTGCACCCCCGGGCCTGACTGTGCATCCCTCCTCCCTGGCTTCCTGCCCCACTTCCAAGGCCTGGTCAGCTCTGTTCCTCCAGGAGGTGGGCCGTAGGCTGCAGCCTGTATGGTGGCTGTGTTTGCTTTCACATTCCAGAGCAAAGCAGAGCCAGTCCCAATCTTGCCGCGCAGAGAACAGGGGCCAGGGTTGGAAGGGGAACCCCAGCCCTGCCCCCACCAGCCTATCAGAAATATAGGAGCACTCATAGTACCAGCAGGGAACCCCCACTGCCACCCAGAGCCCTACCTCACTTTACCTCTGGCATCCTGCAGCTGGGCTCCAGGCCAGGGGATTATGTAGGCAGGGGGCAGGCCCAGTGACCCCCACCCAGCTGGCGATCAGAACAGTAACTGTGGTACTGAATGGCCATCGGGTGCTGGTGCCCAGTTACTGCAGTGGCTAGGGTGAGTAGGCGGGTAGCAGCTCAGGTTTCTGAGGGCGTATGCAGGTGACAGTGTGCTGGCTCCTCCCTCACCTTCCACCTCCCTGCATCTTGTCAATCAGGGATCCTAGGCCAGGCTGGGGCTGGGGGCAGCACTAGGGAAGGGTCCCTCAGGTCTCAGGGAAGCTCTCCAAGGCATGGGAACCCATCTTTCTGTAGCCAGACCACGCCCTGGCAGCTCTAGCTGCCCAATCTTTGAGCTCATTCCAAACCCCAAATCTGACTGGGAAGGTTCTTGTCCATGGGCAGCTACACAGCTATGGAAGCAAGGGCATCTTCCTGCTGCCTTGCTCCAGAGTTCTGGGCCTGCTCCTCAGCCTACACAGCCTGAGCCCCTGCTCTGGACCCCTTCTCTGACACCAAAGCCTGGCTGGATCCCTTGTCTAGCATCTCCTGCTGACCCTCTGACACCTTGCTGTGTGGCCACCAGCTGGACCCATCTCACTAGAAATGAAGGGGTCAGGCTGCTGCTCCTCAACCACCCAGAGGCTCAGCTGACCACACATAGGCTGAATTTCAGGGTATAAGACCTCCAAGGTCTCTAGGGCCCCACTACATAGACACATCCTCTCTCCCAAACAGACCTGGAAGTCCAGGTGAGAGGAATAGGCCTTGACAGGCTTTGGAATAGGCCCTGACACCTCCCCACAGAAGTGCTTCTCAGGGACATATACCATCAAGAGCACAGCCTGAGATGGGAAGGAAGAAACAGACAGAAGCCAGAGCAAGCCCACAGAACAGACATGTGATGTGAGCATGCCTGACTTAGGGAAATGGGCTAGGACGCAGGGCCATATCGCATGGTCAGAGATAAAAGCATCCAAGTTTACACTTTTAAACATCCTACAGGGACACTCACAGCCACCCACACAGGCAAACACAGGACCCATGACGCCAGCCCTGTGGCCTCTTCCCACAGCTTCTGCAACAGCCTGCAGGGCAGGGTCTCTCAAGGCCCCCAAACGGGAAGCAGGATTTGACGGGGGTATCCGGGGCCATGAAGCCAGGCTAAGGCCACATCCGTGCTCTCAGGATCATTCTGGCCATCCCCCTGCCTCACTGAAGAACACTTGCCTCTCCCAGCACAAGCCAAGAAGTTCCTACTAATTATTAGCATAAGTCCCTCTCATTACAAGCTGGTCCAAGGGGTGCCAGACTTGGCAAGAGACCCTCAATTGGAGGGACTGCAATAGGGGGCCTGGCTAGCCTACGTGGTGCAAGAGGGGGGCAGGCAAGCAGCGGGGGAGGGGGGGCGCATTGCTGGAATTCCTTCTCTCTGGCCTGGCTCTGCGCACTTCCTGCTGCCTCCCTCCAAGCCCTCTGGGTCCTGCAGGCTCCCAGCCCAATCGCCCAAGAAGTGAAAGGCAAGCCCTGGTCCCCCGACCCCCGGCTAAGCCTATGACCAAAGAGACTGGCATAGAAGTGTCCCAAGAGTCAGGCAGTGCCCCCCCAGATGGTGACTCACCAGCACTGACAGAGAAAGGCCCCCATTGTTGCTTGGGGTCCAGCCTACTTACACAAAGGTCCCCAAGTCCTCCTCCTCCCTGGAGGAATGAGCAGAGGCTGGGGTCCCCACAGCCCAGCCCTTCCCCCACCCCACCTGACCTGCACAAGTCCCCAGGGTGGGCTCTGTGGAAGGCCTCCTGGAGCTGGGGTGGGTGGTGTAGAATTCCTGGAGCGGGCCATGAGAGGCAGGACAGAAATGGCAAGCAGTCAGCATACAGCCTGGAGTGGCCTGAGCTCTCTGGCCAGACCAGGCTACCACCCTACTTATCTACCTCCTGCGGGAGCCCAGGTTCCCTGGGGATGGGTGGGGACATACAGACTGAGTCACTTTGGGGAGCAGGGTGGTGACTGAGCCCTGTCCCCTGCTGTGACTCCAACACAGCACCCCCCACCTAACTGGGTTTCCGTCCCAAGAAAGGAAGGAAGGAAGCCACTGGGAGGCCCTGCCCTACTGTTGGACCCAGGGCTGAGGAGACAGGCAAGGGAGGGAACCCCAGCCCCAGGATAGAGGACAGTCCTACGGTGGCTCATACAGAGCAGGAGGAGGACTGCAGGAGCCTGGAGAGCCCCAGAACCCTCTTGCAGGCACTGCATCCAGTACCCTGCAGCTACCTACCCCTCACCCATCTGCCCCCAAAGCCCTCCAGATGCGGAGATCACAGCTGGGGGTGAGGGGGTGGATGACAAGGGTTTGTCACCACTTTCCTGGCCCTGGCACTGCTGGCTGCCCTGTCTGTTTGGGAGCCATTCCTTCGTCACTGCTAGAATCAGCTACACTGCAGCTGCAGCCACCCCCAGCCTCATGTGGCCCTGGGCTGAGTCACCACTGACAAGGCCTTCTAGGCCCCCAGAGGAAAGGACAGACCACACCAGTGTCCTTCATGCCCCACCTTCCCTACAGAGCCCGGGACAGAGGACCCTTGAGGCACAGAGACGGCAAAGGCAGCCCTTGCTTCCCTTGGGGCACTTAATGGGCCCCACACATACCTCCTAAATCTGTCCCTCTTCCACAAATACTCTCATCAGAGAACATCCTGGCAGGGTGCACCCCACCCTCACACACTCCTTGCATTCAACCCCACAGCAAATGTCTCTAAGCCTGGCTCAGCTGGGGTCACACACATGAGGCTCCACTCTCCCCTCCAGGGAGTGACTCAATCCCCAGGGTCCCCTGACCTCCAAGACTCCCAGTCCCCAAGTTAGCCTCATCCATAGAGGGACCTGCCCATCACACCCCCCTTTGTTCCTCTAAAAATACGCCCAAAGGAAGCCCCCTCCTAGGGTTTCCTGCAGCCCCCAGTGCCTGAAATAGCAGAGAGGGGGGAAGGTCCCACCCAAGGCTGAGGTGCCTCAGCCACCCCACCTCTAGATAAGGTCCAAGGGCGGATTTTTCCACAGGAAGGTGAACTCAGCTACCACCGTTGTGTCTAAATCAATGGACAAATGCTGGGGGGGTGCTTCCTCCTGGGGGAGGAAGGGAGGAGGTGCCCAATTCTCAGCCAGGGGGAGGGGGCCCTGGGACCAGCTGGCCACCAGCAGGACTTCCCTGAAAGACTCCTGCCCTTTGGCAGCTTTGGGGCAGTCTAGACTCTAGGGCTCAGCACATGCCTTCCAGTCCCAGGGAACAAAAAGGATCTATGGGTCCCCTGGCCAGGCTTTCACCCAGGCAGGGATTCCACTGGGAATGCCATCTCCCCATCCCAAAAGAGGCTCCACAAGGCTCAAATCCTAGGCACAGCTAAGGAAAGGGAAAGGGAAATGGCAGATCTCAAGGTGCTCTGCACACCCAGAAACTTCAGGACCTGACAATGCCACTGCCCCTAGGCTACTGGATCTCAAAGTGGGATCTGGGGAGCCTCTAGACTTTAATCCCTTTGGGTAGTTGTGATGGGGTTCTGAGTATAAGAGAAAATATGAGGACTTCCAGGAGGTACAACAAACAGCCCCAGACCCTTCCTTCTGGCTACCTGGAAGGAGGTGGGGCAGGCTCTCCCTTGTTCTTTTTTTTTTTTTTTTTTTTTTTTTAAAGACAGAGTCTCTCTGTAGTTTAGACTGGCCCCAGGCTGGCCATGAGCTTTCAGGGATCCTCTTGCCTCAACTTCCCACTTTAGCCTCCCAAGTGCTAGAATTACAGGCACGTGCTACTACTCTTGGCTCCCCGGTTTTTTGGGGGACTGGTAACCTGGAAAGGAGGCAGGGACAAAGGACGGGTGCTACACAGGAGGGCCACAGCTGACCATGGTGGCACATGCCTGTAATCCCAGCACTAGGGAGGTTGAAGCAGGAGGATGGCCATGAGTTCAAAGCCAGCTTGGGCTACACAGCAAGACCTTGTCTCAAAAAAAAAAAAAGGGCCGCAGTGGGCTTTTATCTGGCGGAGTCACTGCATTAGGACCCCAATACATGAAGAGCAGGCCTGAGCAGGCAATGCAAAGCACTGACTGGGTGCTAGCCCTGCCCTTATTCCTTGGTCCACTCTAGCTCCAGCTGTGTTGAGCCCTCAATTCAGTGTGTCCTCAGCTCCTCCTAATCAAAACACTGCCCAAGAATGAAGAATGCAAGAATTCAGCCTCCTGGAGACCTCCCCAGGACACAGAGACTCCCAGGGCCACTAACAGACACCTAGCCCAGACACAGAACTAGGCACGTGAGGTCCTACAACCCACCAGCTCTTCCCCGGACTCCTCAGCCACTGGGCCCTAGAGTGGGGCACAATGAGGGCAGAAGGAGTGGCCCCAAGTGGCCTAGAGGGTGGTCACCAGTGGTCACTGAGGCAGAGAAGGGGTCCCCAGAGGCAGAAGAAACAGTGGCTAGTAGAGGTGATCAGAAGTGCAAACTAGGCCTGGCGTGGTGGCGCACGCCTGTCATCCCAGCACTCGGGAGGCTGAAGCAAGAGGATCGTTGAGAGTTCGAGACCAGCCTGGGCTACCAAGTGAGCTCAAGGCCAGCCTGAACTGCATAGCGAGACCCTGTCTCAAAAAGACAAAAAACAAACAAACAGAAATGCAGACTGTCATCAAAAGGCTGAGATGGTGGTTCTGGGAACAGCTGAGTGACCCTATAGTCAAGCCTGCCATACCTTCTGGCCAGCATCAGAGCTGAGGCTGCCCCCACGTGCCCAGTCGGCCTTCAGTTCCCAGGGGTCATGGGCTGGTGGAAGGCCTCGCTGGGCCATCTCTTCGGTGCAGGTCAGCTGCCGCCGGCGAAGCTCCTCATCCGTCTCCTTGTCTACCACCAGCAGCCGTGTCTGCCCTTCCACAGCCTTGATCCTCTGTACCACCTAGGACAGGGGGTGATGGAGAGGGTCAGTGGCCAGCACCTTGGGCAACACATGGACACTGGCACCACCCTGGGTTGACCCAGGCATGGGCTAGTAGCAAGGAGGCTGGTCTGCAGGGGTGGGCAGCTGGATGAAAAGGCATGCGGGCTCCGCCTCCCCACTCCCAGACTCCAGTAGCACCCTCCCTTTTATCCTGGAGTGCCTCTCACTAGCGCCTGGATTGCAAAGGCTTTGGGGTCCTCTCAGTCCTTGGCCTCAGCACTGAGTCTTCTCCAAAAGGGGCTTGGAAGAAGCGGGTGCGAAAGAGTCACAGAGTCAGTCAGTAGAGAGTCAATCTGTCTGAAAGTGGCAAAGATGTGCCTAGCTGGGCTTCAGGTTTTCAGTCTGAGAGAGTATGTGCACATGTGTGTATATATCCATGCATGTATATGTGTGCTCTTGTGCACATATCTGTTTTGCTCTGTCTCTGGCTGGTATGCAAGAGTGGTCCCTTTGTGCCACTGTGGTGTGCTTGGGCCTGTTTCCGTCACCAACATAACAGTCTAAATTCCTGCCTCTGACCCTCCCATTCCCTTGTAGACCATGACTAGGGACCCATTCCGGCTGTATCTGCAGACAAGTGAAGACCTGGGTTTCTGGCTCAGGTACATCCACACATCCCATAAGCAGGATTCAGTCCCAGCAGGTGAGGGGGTCATATGCAGGTCCACTGTGGGACAGGTGTAGCTTTACAGCTGTCCATGTGTCTAAGTGGATGCTTAGGAAACGTGGCAAGCATGCAGGCAGTCATGGAACAGCCAGGGTGTCTGTGTGCACCCACAGGGAGAAAGGGAAGTACCTGCTAGCACAGGGTAAGAAGAGTGACAACCCCGGCCCCTCCTGGAGCCCCCACCACTGATCTGTTCAGCAGATGTCAACATACGGACAGGAAGGTCTGATCAGGGCCCATCTTCTCTGGTCCCCTAACGTCCCTCCTCTTTTCCCATGACCTAGAGAGTGACAGGAAAAATCCAACATCCTCTTGCTTTCTGATGTGGGACCTGGGTAAGTTATCTATAGTCCCAAAGTATTGGTTTCCTCATCTGTAAAATGGAGGTTGTAGCTGTACTTCCTCCTCTCCTGGGGCAGTGGGGAAGGTCCATTATGGTTCTGTGTGAAACTCTTGGATACCTTCACCCCAGAGGCCTGTGATAAGCAGGTACACTTGGGGTGAGGGTGGCAGTGACTGCCAAACAGAGGCCAACAACAGCTCTCCCAGGGTCTCCCTACCTGTTGGACCAACCTTCTAACCTCCAACCCTACCCTTTTAAAGCACATAGCCATATTTGGTTGATGCTGTAGGAAAAAGACAGGATGACAGGGGGATAGATAGACAGACTCCTGAGGGAGATAAAAGTTCCACTCCTGGCACAGCCAAGAACAAGTTTACTATCTCCAGGCCCCACGACTGGCCACAAAGACAGATCCTGACCTGACTGGCTAGTGCTGTGAGGGACATAAGAGACCTGGAGCAGAAAGGATGGAAGAAGGCTGGACCCCAGCCAGCATCTGGAGTGAGTCTGCTGCCAGTGAAAGACAGATACCCCAGGGGGCAGAAGATGCAGAGAGAAAAGCCTGCATGCTCTACAGGCCTTCCTCCAGCTGCAGGAGGCAGGGGCTTCTGTAGTGACCCCAGCCCAGGCAGGAAGGCTCAGAGGAGAGGGAAGCACCTCAGGAGCCAAGGAATGTGCCGCCACACCCAGCTGGGATGCACATTAGTACACTGGCTTCAGACACTGCCAAGTACACATAGCCAGACATGCAGACGGGTGCACACATACACATACATAACCCAGCTCACACAGGCAGATATGCAGATCTGTCCAACCCAGTTCTAGGCACACAGTCCAGCACACAACCAGACACACAGGTGTACTCTTACTGTGACCTTTCCCTCCACATACTGGCAGATATGAGCACACGTGGATACCCCAGAGGACCGGTACAGTCACACACATTTCCAGTTGTGTACACACACTCACAGAAAAACATTTGTGCCAAGATGTCCCAATGTGCCCGAATCCCAACACAGTTACACTGAGGCCAAAGCACAGAAGGAACCAGAGCCAAGGGCCAGAGCAGCCGCAGTGACCCCTCCTTGCCAGAATCCCCCCCACACACATGTGCAGCACTGGGCTTCCCTGCGAGGACCCAGCTGGACCACATCCCCCATTTCGCCACGGAGCCTACACAGGCCGCCGTGTGCCACCTCTACACACACACACACACTCTCCTGGCCTCAGTAGGGTTAAGTGAACCGGGGGTCCTCTGCACTCCCGGGGAGGAGCCAGCCCGGGGCGGGGCACAGGCACCCACCTGGTGGTGTGTTTCACCCTCCACGTTGACACCGTTAACCTCGACCAAGCGGTCCCCAGCGCGCAACGCGGCCGCCTCGGCGGGGGATCCCGGCTCCACGCGCCTGATGAACTGCCCTCGGCGGCCCTTCTCGCCGTGCAGGTGGAAGCCGTAGCCTTGCTCGCCGCGCACCAAGCAGCACAGGCGCGGCCGCAGTGGCTCCGGCGCGGCCATGGCGCCGCTGCCCCCCGGCCGGCCGCTGCTGCCCACAACACGCACGACAGGCAGGCAGTAGGGCGGGGGCGCAGGCGGCGACACTGGGGACCCGCGGCGGCCTCAGTGACTCCGGCTTGCTCGCTCCGATCTTCTCGGGCTCGGGCTCCGGCTCCGGCTCCAGCTCCGGCCCCAACCCGGGCCCCGCCAGGCCTGCGGCACCGCCCCCGCGCCCGCCCTTTCCCCGCCCCCGCTGCCGGCTGCCCCCTCCCGACCCAAGCCCTGCTGGCTAGCCACCCCCCACACACAACCGCTTGGACTCCCCGCAGGCCCAGGGACCACAGGCGTGGGGGGCTGCGGGCCAAGGTAGTTCCGAAGTCACTGGCACCCTCCTTTCTCTACTCCACATTTTGGGCATCCTCCTTAGCACCAGCACCTTTGCCTTCTATGCTAGGAACATTATTGGACACCTGTGTGTGCTGCACTAAGACAGGCTCCTGTAGATGGGGAGCAGCTTAGAGAATGGGTTCCCAGCCCGAGGAACACCACGCAGGGCCCAGAGGGTACAACCAGGACGACAGCCCACTCCATCCTCAGGAAACCCACTCTCCACCTCTCAGAATCCCCTCTGCCTGTTCACCCTTTGCTGTCCGTGAATCTGGATCCCATTCTGCAGCCAGAGTTGCCTTGGCCCAGCGAAGTCCCAGGATAGCACAGGAGGCAAAAAGAGGGGTTTAAAGTGACATGCAGTACCCCTTCCCTAGATTACAGAAGCTGGTGACTGGATGACTCCCTGAACCTCCTGGTGTGGGTTTGGGTCTGCTAAACATCCTGCCCTCCATATCCCTGCCTCTAGGGACCTGAATTTGTTTAGCTGAAATGGAAGGATCTTTGGTGCCCTCCTCTTGACCTGGGATGAACTTTGCTAGGTCTTTGGCCCGGGAGCTATAGAGGGTGGTCAGCTGCTCCACATTAACCAAGCTAGTCAGGTTCTCCTCTTTCCTGCTGCCCAACTTCCCAACCCTACTACCTTCCCAAGCATGATTGTTCCTTCTCCGACAGCAGAACAGTAATAATCACATGGAGCATCTTTTACAATTCTCAAGCCTCTTTGTATGCGGTTTGCCTGAACAACAGGGATGGAGAGGGTATTATACAGATCAGAAAACTAAAAGTAGGAGCAGGAAGAAAGCCATGAAAGCTTACACAGCTCGGCTTGGGCCCAGGGCTGTGAGACCACACTTCATGGAGGAGCATCTTCTTAGGCACAACAATACAGTAGAGTCCCAGGGTTACCCCAACCCACCGACCTTCACATACCTGCCTTCCAGGGTTCAGGCATGGCCAGCCTAGACAGTTCCCCATGTGGACAGGAGAAGCAGGTTTGTCTTAGTCTTTGCCTGACGTTCTCAGCTCTCCAATCCCCTTGGCTGGGCTCCCCAAACCCCACCCTTACACACACACAGAGGCTGGGCCTGCTTCTGGGCAACCTCTGGGGCATGGCCCCTTGGGTGCCCACACCCCAGTGGCTGCCCTTAAAAGCCACTTAGGCAAAGGCTACATAGCTGCTCTCTACCCTTAACCCCTCTGCAATTCCTAGTTGATGCTGCCATAGGCTCTATCCTGTCTGGCTACATCCATTTGTCTGTCTGCCTGTCCAGAGGCTGCCTGTTTGAACTGTGACTGGCTTCCCTGGCCCCAGCCTGGTACTGCTACCCTCAGAGATGGTGAGGATGGGTGTGGGCAGTATTTCTACCATGTACCCTTAGGAGTCATCCTGCAGCAACCAAGACCATCTAGACAGACCAGACTGTCACTTAATAGCCATACTAGACTGGAAGGAGGTAGCCCAATGGGAGACCACCAAGCCAGGGATTAGGAAAGTAGGGGCCAGAGTTCCTAAGACAGGGGGCCTAGGAGATCTCTTACCCTTCTGTAGGACAAATTCCAGATCAGACCCAGCCCTCCCGGACCTTCTGCAGCCCAGGGCTCAGCTCCATACTCACCCCGTGACCTATGATGGGACAAGGACAAAACACGACCAGAGGGAAGGGTAATCAGGGACATGTGGTCACAACCAGGGGCAAGGATCAAAGATATGTCACAGGACATTGTAATCACAGAGTAGCAAAAGAGTCCACAAAGGAAAAAGGAAACAAGAAGCACCAGGGAAAGTATCAGTAACAAGGCAACATCTTAGGATAACAAAGAAAGAGGGTGCCTATGCCTGGCAGAGTAGGTAACACTGACAGAATAAAGAAAAACACCCAGAGAAGACTAGGCCACTATTTCTCAGGGGGTAGCAGGAATAACTGAGAGGTGACAGAGTAAGTGTGAAGAGCCCAAGGCTGCAGAGTGGGACACAAAGTGACACACAGTTGTGATGGGTGAGTCCTCCCAGGCCTCCTCCCTCTGCCGGTCTAGGCACCTCAGGCAGCCAGGATGCTGCGGAGGAGGTGGGAGGCAGAGAGATGGGCAGGCAGAAAGGCACCAACAAAGGCCTGCAGCAGGGACAGGAAAGTCGCAAGGGTCTCCAAGGATGAGATAGGAGAAAGGGCCCATGAGGCCTTAGGGTGATGCCACAAGGATGGTGGACTTTATTTGCTAGTTCTTTGAGAAGTGGGGTGACCTGGCCCCTAGGCCAGCCACAGACAGGAAGGTCAAGACAGGTCATCAGGGGCCTAGGCCCTTCCTCACCCCACCCTAACCCTGCCCATTTACTAAATGGAGGGGTGCTCTGTAACAGAGGGAGAGCTGGTGAGTCCAACCTCTCAGCCCTCGCCTGTCCTAGACTGTCAGAGGGCTCCCCCGTAGGATAGGAGTGGCCCTTGCACCCCCATTAGGGCAGAAGGCTTTTATCTGAGCATCAGACCTGCACCCTTCCTGCAACACCTCCTCTCAGGAGGAGGCTGGAGTTTTGGGGCGAGGTGGCTCTGAGAGGCGGCAGTGGACAGAAGCCTGGGAATTCTGGGAGTGGAGCCATGAACCTAAATCCCAGTAATAGCCTAGAGCGTCCCGGGCACCGCTGCCTCCTTAATGGGTACTAATGGACCCACATCACCAGGGCTCACTTAGACCCTCCTCCCTCAGATTGCAGCGTCTCACAGGCCGCGGGGAGCAAGAGCCCAGCGCGGAGAGGGCAGGAATCTCGGGACCGCAGAGGGTGGGGCGGCTTTGCTCCGCCCGCCAGGCCCCGCCCCTCCGCCACGGCCCCTCCCATTGCCGAAGAGAGGTCCTTCCTGGATGCTGCCGCCCGCAAAAGCATCCGCGCAGCGCCCCCTGACGAGAACGTGTGGATTGCGTCGCGGGAGGGGAGTCTGCCCCAAGCCTTGTCCATCTGGCTTGAAGCAGGTCTAGTCCTGTAGGATGGGGATTGGGATGAGGCCAGTGCCCTCTAGCCGGTTGTGCAGCACTGACACAGAAACGAGTGCCATGGGGAGTGACAGGCACAGAAGTCTGGCCTCTGCTGAACTGCTAATTGGTTCTGCCTCTTCACCTTGGCCCCCAGCACCCACCACTCTGGGCCAGGGTATATCCAGGCAATTTTGCCAAGAGTCCCAGCACTTGTTTGTTTGTTTTTTTTTTTTTTTGGGTTTTCTCCGGTACCGGGAATCGAACTCACGACCTTGCGCATGCCAGGCAGGCGCTTTTGCCGCTGAGCTAAATCCCCAGCCCCCGAGTCCCAGCACTTGTGACCAAATATTTGAAGACCATTTGGCACCAGGCACTGGCAAACATTGGGCAAATATCTATGCAACCCAGGGAAATAGGGATTTGTGTACCTTGACCAAGCAAGGGAGCCCCAGGGTTAAGACAGCTGTCAGAGGAGCAACTAACTCAGCTGGGGTCCCTGCAGACATCCTTCAGGGTGGCAGCTCTGGATGGTTCAAGAATCTTGCCCAGGCCAGGCATGGTGGTGCATGCCTGTAATCACAGCACTTAGGAGGCCAAGGCAGGAGGATCGCTGTGAGTTAGAGGCCAGCCTGGGTTACAAAGTGAGTTCAAGGCCACCCTGAACTGCACAGTGAAACCCTGTCTCAAAAAAAGAAAAGACCAAAAAAAAAAAAAAAAAAGAATCTTTCCCAGAGGTCCTGCAGGTGAGAGCAGAAGATAGGGAAGCAGAGGGAGCCACGAGTCTGGGCACAGGGCCAACAGTGGGGGTCATATGTAGGAGGGGCATGATGGTGTTGTGCACTGGCAGTGACAAGGTCAGGAAATCCACTTGTTGTTGTTTTTTGTTTGTTTTGTTTTTTGAAATAGGATTGCTTTATGTAGTTCAGGTTGGCCTTGAACTGACTATGTAATGATTACTGAATGTATCAAACATTCAGCGAGCCTCTTGTCTCAGCTTCCAGAGTCCTGAGATTATAAGTGGGCACCACCATGCCTGGTGATACCACCCTTTAAAAGGTCAGGTTTGGTGAGGACCAGAGGCAGGAATGGAAGTGTGGGCATGCAGGGAGAATAAATCTACTTGAGGGGTCCATGACCTCCCTTTCTCCCAATTTAGCATGTGAAAAAGAGCTGGGTGAAATCAAGGGAATAAATTTAGGGGTCCATAAGAATTGGGAGGTGGAACAAAAAGTAGCAGCCACACTTGAGGTCCAAGATGGGAGAAGGATATATCCAGGGGTCAGAATAAACTGTCAGAATGGGGTGACAGACCTGGACAGTCCCAGGGCAGACCCCACAACATGGCCAAAGGAGGGCTCTGAGGGAAGATAGCACCAGGGCACAGTGAACCACACAGCTTGAGGTCCAGGGCCACTGTGGAAGTCAGAGGCCAGACTGACACCGATTGAAAGGCTGGGGTGTAGGTCAGTGGCAAAGCTCTTGTTCAGCATGTATGAGGCCCTGGGTCCAATTCCCACCACCACCACAGCAAAAACAATAAAAGAAAAAAGCTGCATCCATGAAGCTGACTGAAGAGGAAGCAGGACAGTGGAGGAACACAGACATTTATGGGGGAGCTGCTGCAAGGGACCCGGGTGGAGTGAGATCCGTCTTTTTTTTTTTTTTTTTTGTCTTTTTGAGACAGGATCTTACTATGCAGTTCAGGCTGACCTTGAGCTCACTTTGTAGCCCAGGCTGGTCTCAAACTCTCAGTGATCCTCCTGCCTCAGCCTCCCAAGTGCTGGAATTACAGGCTTGTGCCACCACGCCCAGCAAGATCCTTTTTAATTCAGGATGGCAGAGCACATTTAAGTTGAGGCTTGAGCCAATGACTGGAAATGCAGAGGCACATAAAAACTGGAGGGTTTCCTTGAGGCATGAGGTGCTCAGGTGCGGGGCCTTCTTCCATACAAGAGAGCACAGTGGTGAGGAAAGAGCCTGATGGTTCCTACTAATTCTCCAGAAGCCTTTGGCTGAGGGAAAGGAGCGGGTTCAATGTTAAAACTGATGTTGGGGGGGCTGGGGATTTAGCTCAGCAGCAAAGCACCTGCCTGGCAAGAGCAAGGTCATGAGTTCAATTCCTGGTACCGGAAGAAAAACAAAACAAAACAAAACAACAACAACAAAAAAGACGAAAACTGATGTTGGGAGATGGGCTAAAACCTGGGTCTGCTGCCCATGTTGGAAGCAGAGCCCTCAATCCAGGCTCACCTTCCCCTATACCTCAGCCAATAGGCAGGGACATGGGATTTGCCTTGTCCCTTACATAGGTGTTCATAGAGTCAGTCATCAGTCCCCGGGGCCTGGTTTATGACCCACTCCTGAACAGGAGGGGATCACTGGTGGAGGAAGGGACCTAGACCCCAGCAGCGTCTTTCCCTTGCTTCCCACTCTGCCTGGCAGTGACATAGATTCCTGCAGCTGGCCAGCGAGCCACCACCACCTTCGCCTGGTAAAGAAAGGGGCTCTTGACATTTGCCAGGGCGTGGGCGAGGCTTCGCGCGCCATGAAGGTGGATGCAAAGTACACATTGGAGCAGAAAAGGGTCACAAGCGGGGGCGCAGGAATCAGGCTAGTTTTATTGACCAGAACACCAGGCCTGGCCAGAGCCAGGAGCTGTGCGCCCTAGAAGCAGCGACTGCTGCTGGTTCAGGCGCAGGGCCGACGAGGGCAGTGAATGTTCTCAGGGCGGTCCTGGAGCCAAGCCGGGCTGGTGAAGGCCATTTGCTCCAGGGACCGTGGCTGGGTCGAAGACGAAGACTTCTCTCCAAAGGCTCTAGAAAACACAGCAGGAATCTGGGAAGGGGGCTGACCGCTGCCCCCAGGCTTCAAGAGCAGAGTACTGCGCCAGAAAGCCTTCCTCAAAGCCCAGTGGGGAACACAGTAGCAGCAGGGAGTTAGGCTGGGGGTGGGGATGCCAGATCACATTTCTATCAGATTTCCAAGACCCTCTTACCTCCTGCTGTCGTGAATGCCCTTTCCCTCTCCCTCCCTCTCTCTCTCTCTCTCTCTCTCTCTCTCACACACACACACACACACACACACACACACTTACCTGGCAGACACAGCTGAGGTCCAGGAGTGGATGCCCAGCCTCGGCTCGAGCTCCGGGGAGCGCGGACTCCGAGGGGCACGGATCGGGAGCCCTGCTCCGGGGCTCCGGCGTCGCGCCTCCCACAACTCCCGCAACCCCGAGGGAAGCAGGAGAAGGGCGTTGCGGGGTGCTGGCCCAGGAGCCAAGATGTCCCAGGAGAGGGGATCGGACGCCGGGCGCAGCGCGCGACGCCACAGGTAGGGCGAGCGGCGCAGCCCCATGAGTAGACCGGCTGCGCGGCCCACCGTGTGGTAGCGGGGACTCGCCACGTGCTTGTACCAGGCGCCCGCGGGCGGCGGCAGCAGAAGCAGAAACAGCAGCACCCCAAGCAGCCGCCGGACCCCAGGAGCCCCCCGCCCCGGGGCCCGAACCACCCGGCTCCGCGCCAGGGCGCTCACGTCCACCACCGCCCGGCGGGGCGGGCCAGCAACTGGTTCCGTTTGATCTATGAGCAAGGCAGCGGACCTGGTTTGTCTGGCTGTCCGTAAGCGGGCGCAGGCTACAGGCCAGTAGTTGGTCCTCCGCGGGTCCTACTATAACCGCTTGCTGGGTGGCCCCGCCCTCTCCCGCCTCCACGGTACCTACTCGGCTGGGGGCGGGGGCTTCTAGGAGAATCTTGTTGAGTAGCTGCTGACTAGAACTGCTCTTGAGGCCCCATTGGGACCGTCCCTG